GAGCGAGCCCAAATCGCACCTTAAGATCCACTGCGAATAGACGAGTGAGCTCCGCGCGATCTGCTTGAAAGGCTGTGACGGCATGGACCTTACTCTGGGTAGCTTTGAGTTCGATGGTCATCGTGGTCTGTTCCTAATGGCGAAATATGTTTTCTATCGAATAAACACGATTCGTAGGGTTCTTATAAAGGATGATAAGCTTTGAAAGATGAGAGGAGAACGGGCCAAGAGTTGTGAGGCGCGTAACCAAACATTTTGACCATAGTTCGCCGCAGCCGCGCTTAACGTCAAATATTTTTTTTTAAAAAAAAGTATTGGATCGTGGATACGGGAGCGGAGACTGAAATTAGTTTGGGTCCCTCCCCGAGGTGTCAGTTTGGATTGATCGGCACTAGGCACTGCCTCCTGCCACCCTTCTGATCCTACTCTCGTAGTGCGTCACTGAGACAATAAAAACAGTTTACACCTATTAGTGGTAGCAGTTCGACTGGCTATGATACTCGCGCTCCACCAAAGCAAGTTCTCAATATGCAATTTTCGTGACTAAGAGACCTGAGAACATTATTAGATGGGAAAAGAGTAGAGTTTCGATCTTCATTCAGTGGCGAATATTCTTCAAGTGGTGCCCGATAGTGTTTCCTCCCATAGTAGTAGGCGGGAACCAGATGAGTGTCTAATCTTTTTAAGAGCCTTCCGAACCATCTCGATGTGCCTTCGCATCTATACCGCAGCGAGCCAACATACCGCGGTTGTCAGACTCTTTAGGACCATATTCAGCATCACTGAACCCATTATCCTGAAGGAGATATCCCTTCGATCGAAGAGGTCACCACTCTGTTAACTAAAATTCGACAGAGCAATTAGGGTTGCGTGCTAAAAAGCCCCTTTTCTACGGGAAATCCGATAACCCGTGTTGGGGCTTTCATGACCAAGAAGAGGGACTATATCGAGGGTTTGAACCGTCTCTCGTAACGAAAGAGGATTAATCCCTCAAATCAAACCAACTGTCTCACTGTGACCCACATTTTGCCTTCTGAGTAGATGGCGTCTAGCAGGTGTTACCAACCGCCACCTCCCGAAGACTATTGCGTTAGGCGTTCAGGGCCAAACAACACCTCAATTGATACCCACCGTCTCTCTAGGGCTCTCATAGAGCTTCGCAATTGTCAGCCGGTTTCGATTCTCAGTTCAATACCGATCGAGTGTATATTCATTTCCATGTAACAAGAGAAACCGAGCTGAGAAATCGAAATTACCTCTCCTGGTCTCAGAAAATCAAAAACGCAAAGTTTCTTCTCTATACACGCCTTCCTGCGGTTCTCGGCATATAGAAGTAGGAATCGTTTCAATTCATAAGGTCTTCCGAGGCTGTCTGAATGACATACTTGATAAGTAGGCCATCTCTATTTTTCTGGGAAAACTGTGATCTGCATTGTTGTCAATCCCAAAACCGCTTATTGGCCACCTCACCTCTTTGTAGAAAAGAAAAGAAAAGAAAAGGTGATGGACCGGAGAGTGAGTTGATAGTGCAATACATAACTTCAATTCAGATACTGAGTATGGAAACGCTGGCCGACCTCCGTCGCTCTCGGGTAGATGAATGAATGGGGGACTGGTTAATTTCTGGGCGGCGCCTAAATTCTATTATCTTGAGTCTGCCGAATAACTTTCTACTCAATGCCGAAAGTAAATAGGCTTCGTGGGGGGGGGGACAATATTATCAAACGAGATTTGTTGACGACTGTTATTTCTTGTATCCTCATTCTCTGGGGCGATCTAGCTTCTTCAAGTGTAGGGTATGACGACTGTAGGTGCCACATCAGGCACACACTGAATAGCGTACACAGAATAATATGACTGATGTTTATAGAGTCGATATATGGAAGAGGGAAGTGAGCTAATGGAAACTATTGATCACGCTGTCCCTACACATTTATAGCTAGAGAGCACGGTTATTTGGAAGGGCATCGTTTCCATCTTTTATCTGTCAGAATCTGGTGACCAGAAGTTTCTGGTAACACCGCGTATTGGATGGAGCGAACCAAAATAGTAAAGAACCAAATGAGGCAGGCGCTAGTGATCCTGTATTGTCCGTATATGTGGTTCATCCATGCAAAAGAAGAGAAGGAGTGGCAAATGACAGCGATTCGACTGTTCGTGACGTATCAAGTGATGTTTACTTCAGTCTGAGTACCAAAACCCATCCATTGTCCGGGAAATTTCTAGACTTTAGTCTGAAATGCCACTTCTATATGTATCCTGCGACTTATTAAGGGTCAATCTTGCAAGCTGTAGCTATCAAGACCTCTCAGGCCGTTCCCCTACTTCTGCCTGAACTAGCTATCGTGCATTGTACTGCTCAATTCTGTTCATACGGACGGAGAATTTGATCGAATCTACACGTATATCAAAGGGAGTGGTACACTATGTCTTCTACTGTCATCAGTCTAGACCCCGCACCGGAGATTCAATCCTGTGAGTCCTTTTCACGACCTTCCATATTCCTTGCAATTCAACGTCCACCTAGACTATACATACGCCGGCACCGTTGCCCTTTGCCTCCTCTGTAATTCTAGATTCGAGAAAAGAAACAGAAAGCGGCATGAAAGGACCGCCGTTCATAGGGCGCAGCTCAAGTTCTACAACCTACCTCAACCCGAGGAGGATAATGATCCGAACCCACATAATCCAGGGGGGTCAAAGAATTCTGAATCTACGGATCTCAATGCATGAACTCTTCAACTGGCAAACGAACCCATTCCGTTAGTTTGGTTTGATTGGTATCGATAAACCGTTACGGTTTATCCGCGCAAGAATCATGAATTCTCTTCTTCTAGGAAATTTTATGAAATGTATATTTCCTAATTCTCCTCCGCCAATTTGTCAAGGCCTCGGCTCGAGTAACAATTCAAATAACGATAGTCTAGCTATCCAAAAGACACTACAAGAGTACCGTATCTGTATTCTAAACTCAATTGTCAATTATATGGTCTAGAAGGATTCGATCAGTCGCAAACTTGCTGGACCAGGCCAATAGGCGGTCCGTACAGTGCATCAATAGCGCTTTCTCCTGTAAGCGGATGATAAAATCTTGTTAAACAAAGTCTGATCACCGCCCCGTATTGCACTTGTGAAAGCTCTTTACCTTTAGCAAGGAATTTGAGAGGCAGGACCCCTTTCGCTGTGTGGTCACATCCTTGGCGAAGTCCCATGACGCCCCGTTA